ATATTCCCCAAGACTACACAGGAAACAGAGCACCAAAACCACGGGAAAGCAGCCCAGCTTGGGACCCGAAGAGGTAGCTGTAGGAATCAAAGAGGCCCGCACGGAACTGAGGAACCAAAGGCATGGGAAAATCACCCAGTACAGAAAACTAAAAGCTAGCCACGGAAACCCACAGGACAAATGCATGGAAAATAGTCAGCCAGCATAGGAACCTAAGGGACAAGCTCAGAATTTTAAGAAGAAAAGGGGAGGAGAAGGGACAAGACCACTCCATAATGAATCCAACTTATGAGCTTACCTTAGTAAATTAATGAGCTAGGTAGATCAATAAATTCCCCCATTGAATGAACTAAACTTCAGCTCATCATTAATGAGCTAGCAACTTAGCAATTAAAGCTCAACTCCAATGAACCACCTCCTTCCAAACATCACCATAAGCCCAAAATTGAGGACCATAAGCCAACCCGAGAACCAGTAGCAGCCAAGGACCAATCGAGCTAGCAAACCAAAGGTCTACCAAGCCCCAAGCACAACCTACCATGATCATTGGATGCCTTCCATCATTGTATAGCTAAAAAAATAAAAAAACTACATTAACATAATAATGTTCAATATTAAAATAAAAATACAGAATATTTGATAGCATCAGTTTTTAAGTGGACTTTGCATTAGCCAAGAGAGGCAATTAGAACTGAATTCAATAACTTTTATGAGCTCTTTATGTATGTCTAGAAAGTTTTATGTTCCTTACCAAGAACAAAAGATTGCCAGGAGAATTTGACATTTTCTGGAATGTATACAACTATTCTTGATAGAGATATATGACATGTCGAGAAAAGAACAAACCATATTAAGTGATAAATCATCATTGCTAAAACCGTTGTGTTATTACCGAGTAACTTTGATTAGTTGTCAAGCACATTATATGCCTTATTGAGGGCTTTATGCATTGTACAGAAAAAAACCAGATGAAGCTTGCTATGAATAGTTTGTGAGTTAAACTAGGAGTTGCTAAGTCTAATCATCTTAGGATAATCGAGCAATCCAAGGTTGTTGAGGTGATCAGGAAGTGGGTAGAATGAGTTGACACCAGCAAGATGAACTTCCCTAAGCCATTGGAATGATTTGTAAATATACAAGGTTGGCTACCAAGAGGTTGCATTTCATTCGGAAGAGGCTCACATGTACAAGAGATGAGCTGATTTGGTGTGGTTGAGGTTGATTGAAGTGTTGCTTGGATGCTTTGGCAAGGAAGTGCCAATATATTCTTATGGTTGAGATCAGAGGAGCAATAAATTAAGAGGAGCCTCCTACTATGATCGTCTCAATCCTTGTCGAGGATTGCCTAAGAGGTGTTTCAACACTATGAAGTGGTGTTTTATCCTACCAAAATGAGTGCCGAGATGTCAATGAAGACAAACAAAGATTGCCAAAGGTCAAGTAGGAGTGCCTATTTAGGTGCATGAGTCGAGTTTGGATCTTACTCGAAAATAACCTTAGACAAGTATAGTTAACTTGAACTAGTCTTATTTAATAAACAAGTCAAAAACCTAAACTTGAACCTGAAACGATGTGACATGAAAAATATTTAAGTCTTGTCGAGCTGGTGTCAACTCGACCCGAAATGAACATGGCAATAAAAATAAAATTTAATATGATTTCATTTAAAAAAATCTTGGTTATTTTAGCAATCCAAACTTGACCCAATTTTTTGAGTCATTTTATCTTGACCCAAACTCGACCATAATATTTGACTCGAACCCAATATTGGCAACTTGTGCGCCAAGTAAAATATTGCTCATAAGTTGAGCTAACGTGGCTACATAGAGGAGCGAGTCTTGTTGAGATGATTCCATTTGGTGGTGCCAAGAAGTTTCATGTTAGAGATTCAAATTGGTGAAGAGCTGAGTTTTGAATTGGGAGAAGTTTTCAGAATTTGAAAATAGAATGTTCAACTAAAACAAGTCTTATTTTAAACTCATCTCTCTTGAAATGTTAATGATGTGTAATATAATTTTGTAAGTTCATTTTGAGCTCTAGTTGACATGCTTTAGTTTCCTTATGTAATTCTTTGTTTAAAAATGAATCATAAGAGACATGCCTCATGGTGTGCCTCAACACAAGTTTTAAAAAAAATGCCATGAGGCGTACGCCTTAGCATGATCGAGGCGCGCCCCTGTACAATTTGTAAGAGGCATAAGCCTAAGAAATTATGATTTAGATAATTCATTTTTTAATATTTAAATGTAATAGAGAAAATAAATCTTATTTTGTTATTTCTCTACCCCAAACCCAAAACAAACAAATCGAGAAACACGACCTCACATACCTCTCGAGTATAGTTGCACGTTGAACTCGCATTCAACGCGGCTACTGCTCCCAATCGCACACTACTACAACCACTACTTGTTTGTATTAAATATGGATTGGGAGAGACTTACTATTTGTTATCATCTTACTTTAACTTGTTTTGTTCTTATTTTGATTTCTTACTTAGATGTTAATATGTTACTTGTTTTTTTTTTTAATTTAATAGTTTAATTATGATGCTTATATCTTAAAATGCCTCAAGGCTTATGCCTCACTTAACGGATACAATACATGTCAATATTTAATTCCTCACTTTCAAACCTTGATATAATTGAGAGCTTTCAAGATGCTTGTATTTGCAGATGAGATTAAAATATTAAATGCTTTTGCCATGATTTCTTTGAGTAATAGTGGGCTGACACAAGAAAATGCTGAAAAATAAATGAAGCTGTAGATGAACATATCCCCTATTGTTGAGAGCTTGTTTGGTTGTGTCTGGAGTTAGAAACATGGAGGAGGGGTTTTGGAGAAAACATCAAGTGTTATGGGAATTCTTTTGAATAGGGACTACTTATGTTTCTTAGCGAAGAAGCTTGACATAACTAATTACTACTCTTGGAGCCTTCTTGTGAATGTCTCATTTTGTTCTAGCTCCTAGTGTACCAAAGGGAGGTTTAAGTCCTCTTGCAGTCAAATGCCTTCCTTTGTAAGCTGCACTAAGCTCAGGAGGTAAAATTATCAAGTTGAATTAAATAGTGCATTGAAATTATGTGACATACCTAAGAAGTGCATAGAGGAATTAAATGAGGGCAGCATGCTACTTGCAAACATATTATATGAAATTCCTTAATCCGGAAATGTATTGGGGCATGACTTGTCATATGTATAGTTTTATTCATTTATCATATACTTGTTATTAGATAGTTCTATATTATTTGTGTGTTTATTTAACATTTTTCTAAGACTTGCTTTACGGGTTCCCACTTATTAGAGCTCTCAGTTTTCCAAAATTTTCATGTTTCAAGATGCCTTCCATCAAGCCTTATGATGAGTCATTTAATTCTTATGAGCATGTGGATTATTTTTTTGCTGTCATGTTCATTCAACATGCTAGCAAGTACCAACTCATTTGTGTGGCAAGTTTTCTTAACTATTCTTAAATGGAAAGCACAAATTGGTACTACTTGCTCTTTTGAGTTTTTTTTTGGATTTGGATTATTTTTGGGCCCTCATGCACATGGATCGACCAATCAACTCACTGTTGTGCCACAATTTCTCATTTATTCTCAAAGTTTGTCTTGGTTCCTAGTTTGATTGTTGATTTGACCAAGATCCTTGTTGACTAGTTCATTGTGAATGACTTCACCATTAAAGACTCCTCTCATCACTTGAGCATTCATTAGAATGAAGAGGTGGAGGAGAGGCATGGGGGCGTTTCTCTGGAAAGCCAAATAAATCCTAAGGGTCAACTTCTTTAGGGACATTGCCTTAATTAGAATTTTCTAGAATCTTTTTGTAGCCAAGTAAGCACTTGAAGTTTTCAATCAATGGTTCCTTAAGGACCCAAACAAGTGCAAAACGTAGAAGTTTTCAATCAATGGTTCTCTTAAGGACCCAAACAAGTGCAAAACGTAAACATCAAAGCAACGGCCCATAAAATACTGCCAGAATAGAAGACCACGGTAAGAAAAACCAACTGCAACTATATGAGCCCAACCACAAACTGATTAAATACACCTCTTTGCACAATGTTTCTAAGGAGAAGCCAAATTAAGCCCAAGAGCCATTTTCAAACTTCTTTGTGTCGTCTTCCTTTAGAGACTTCACCTTGGACCTTTCTGTTAGTGCTCTTAAGGGAACTCTCATAGGTACATAAACTTAATTTGAATTTTCATTGCTCTACTTATAGCTCATGAAGGAATCAAAGCTTACAATCAAGGGTTCTCTTAAGGCCCCAAACAAGGGCTAAGGGTATCTATCCAATTAATGACTCATAAAATACTGCCAAAAAGGAATATCACTGCAAGAAAAACCAAATGCAACAATATAGGCACCCCCATAAATTGATTAAATGCACCTTTGCACACATTCTGAACCAATATTGCTACGAAAACACTAAATGATGATCAATTGCCAATTTGCCATAGCTGTGAGCCCCAGATTGTATTAATAGCATTGATTTTTGGCCTAATATTTTCACTTGCTCTGTGCTTGGTGTCATTTTATTGAAAATTGTTTACATTTAATGAAGAAATATACAGTCACTTCTTCTATGATTGTAGGCTAAGCTTATTATATGTAGAGTTCCATGGAACAGTTCTAGCATCAATAGATCCCTTCATTAATATATGGCTAGAAGGTTTGTTTATGGTAAACTTTTCCTTCTATTATTATTTCAAGTTATGGATTCGAGACAAATATTAGCATTTCATGCTTATAACAGTAATCATAATTTTTTTAAAAAAATATTTTTTGTCATCTATGATGAATGGTCTGTGTTATTATGATTAATTGTTGTATATTTCATTATGCTATATTATTGGGCCCTAACTTCTATTGAAAATGCCAACTGATAACGTCACAATGAAGATAAAATAGGTTCTGCTTTAGCTTACGTGCTCATCCGTCTTCAAATTTTTTGGTATCATTTGAAATGGTTTTACTAATGACCAAATCATTATTGTTTGTAGGGTGGTCCTGCTAATGCTCTTCTTAAAGCTGATGTGCCATGGTCTGCACGTAGGGGCAATCTCTCTGAGAGTGATCGAGTTCTTAAAACAGTGAAGGGGTAATTTTTTCTTTATTCTATTTGGAAAACCATCCATTATTTAGTAACGGGGCTTGTTTGGGCTTTGGTAGCGCATTGTAAGTGTTTGATAGCTGTAAATCCTTGTACTTTGAACTATATTTTGATTAAGTTCTCCTAATTTTATGTTAAGACTGAAGAAACTTTGCAAAAATAAGAGCTCTTCAATATTGAGCATATCTTCAAATTAACATTTCTAATTCTTATTTTTTCTTGTTATAAGCAGTATTTTGAATAAGCTTACACCAGAAAAATTCGATGTTCTCAAGGGCCAGCTGATTGATGCTGGAATAACCACTCAAGAAATTTTAAAGGTTCTCGTGTTCTTCATAGAAGAAAAATAGCTTTTTATATATTTATTTTCTTCTAGATTTTACGCTCAAAACAATAATTTTGCAGGGTGTGATTTCTCTAATATTTGATAAAGCAGTTTTGGAACCTACCTTCTGTCCTATGTATGCTCAGTTGTGCTCTGAGCTCAACGAAGGAATCCCTCCATTCCCTCCTGACGAACCAAATGGGAAAGAGATTACATTCAAGCGTATATTGTTGAATATATGTCAGGAGGCATTTGAAGGAGCTGACCATCTTAGATCTGAGATCAGCAAATTAACAGGCCCAGATCAGGAAATAGAACGCAGAGATAAAGAGAGAATGGTAAAGCTTCGAACCCTTGGAAATATTCGTTTGATTGGGGAACTTTTGAAGCAGAAGATGGTGCCAGCAAAAATTGTCCATCATATTGTCCAGGTTCATATAATTAGTATCATATTACTCTCAGATATCATTAGATGCTCTTTATGTAAATTTACTGATTACTATTATTCTGAGCAGGAACTGCTGGGGCCGGATGTTAAAGCTTGCCCTGCTGAGGAGAATGTCGAGGCTATCTGCCAGTTTTTTAACACCATCGGCAAGCAGTTGGATGAAATCCCAAAGTCACGACGTGTTAATGATGCCTATTTTAACCGGTTGAAGGAGCTAACGACCAACCTCCAGCTTGCTCCACGCCTGAGGTTTATGGTCCGTGATGTACTTGATCTCCGCGCTCATAATTGGGTTCCTCGCCGTGAAGAGGTGGGACTTCATTACATATTTTTGTTATCTTTATGAGTGAGCTCTTAAAAAGAAGAGATTCTTTTTTGTGGTGGCGTTAGAGAAGTTGCAGGAATTTTGGTTGTCTTATCCGCTTGACTAAGGTGATATCAATGCTTCACATTTTGTTTGCATTCTTTTGGTTGAGCAGGTGATAGCCAAAACCATCTCTGAGATCCACTCGGAGGCGGAGAAGACTCTTGGATTGCGCCCTGGAGCAACTGCTAACATGAGAAATGGCCGCGGTGCCGGCGGTTTGGGAGGAGGTATGAACTCCGGAGGGTCATCACTAAAGCCTCCTGGTGCTGGAGGCATGATGATGCCTGGAATGCCTGGTGTGAGAATGATGCCAGGAATGCCAGGGATGCCTGGGATGGATGGTGATAACTGGGAAGTGGTTCCTCGTTCTTCCCGGTCCATGCCGAGAGCCCAACAGAGCTCTCTCGTCACCAAACCATCACCTTCGAACATAAATCCTAAGCTGCTACCTCAGGGTAGCGGCGGCCTACTGGCCGGAAGGTCAAGTGCGCTATTGCAAGGTAGTACTCAACCATCTCGTGCTCCTCCTATTGTTTCTGGAACCACAGAGCCCATTTCTCAGAACGTTGGCTCGGCAAAACCTCAAGCTACAGTGCCTCACCCAGTTCAAGCTTCTGAGAAGCAAATGCCAGGAGCACGGCTGAACCCTGATGTGTTGCACAAGAAAACAATTGCCCTCCTGGAGGAGTATTTCAATGTACGCATTCTCGACGAGGCATTGTATTGCGTCGAGGAGCTTAAGAGCCCTCAATATCACCCAGAAATTGTCAAGGAAGCCATTAACCTTGCCCTTGACAAGGGCCCATCTTGCCTGGACCCTCTTGTCAGGTTTTTTGAGTACATGATCGCAAAGAAGGTTTTCACACCACGGGATTTGGGCACTGGCTTTTTGCTTTATGGATCAATCCTGGATGATATCAGCATTGACCTGCCAAAGGCTCCAATTCTCTTTGGTGAGGTCATTGGGAAACTTATTTTAGCTAATGGACTGGGCTTCAAGGTTGTGGAGGAAATCTTAAAGAAAGTGGAGGATAATAGGCTCCAATCTGCTATATTTGAAGCTGTGATGAAATCTTTGCAGGCAAGCCCAGCAGGTCAGAAGGTTTTAGCTGAAAATTCTGATGATATAAAGACTTGCATGAGCATACTTTCATAAAATCAAAGTTGCTAGCGGGGTTTGGCTATTGCAGGTGTGTCTTTATGTAACTTTATCAAACTGATAAATCGGTTGGCACTCTTTCTTTTTCTATTTATTTTTTATTTGAGATTTCCCTCGTTTCCTTTTTCTTTTTTCTTAATTCTTAAGAGGTAAACTTCCTTGACAATCTTATGAGCTGTGAGAAGTTTTCTGAATTTTAATGAGTTGTATATTTATGCGAGTGACATTTTTATTAGTGATTCAAGTCTGAAAAAGGAAAAAAAAAAGCCATGGATTTTTGGCTAAGAGATCCACAGCATGTCCAGCTGATGAATTAACTTTTGCAAACAAATGTTTTTGAAATGTATTGATTTTTTTTTTCATTTAAGAACTTTTTTGCCTTGAACTTTTGGGTGGTGGTAGATGGATTTTTGAGCAAAAAAGGTGTAGTGAGAGAAGTTGAATTTATTGTGATTTTGTTAATTGTTATAGTACAAGTTTTTGGTTGAGTATGCATGACATTTCCTTCCCATCTGTTGATTGAAAGAATAACTCGCACTTTGATCTGAACTATTAAGGTTTCGTTTGGGACGGCTTTTTTATTGCTCTTAAAGCATCTTTTTAGTACAAAAATTAAAAAATTTGTATTAGAAAGCTGCTTTAAGAAGCAGTAAAAAAGCTATCATAAATGAAGCATAAGTAGTTTTTTTAATACCTTAATGTTGAGAATTTGATCCTTTTATGCCAAAATTGATGTTATTGAAGAATTGCACTTGCAGAATGAAATGCATAATTCTATGTCAAGAGAAAGGGAGGAATGGAGAGCATAATTGATGCCTAAAATAGGAGTTTTTAGGAATTGGCCCTCATATATAATTTAATCATGGTATCTTGCACTTGATAAGAATTATTGATCTCTCAAATATAATACAACTCTTAAGTAGCTCACTTATTTAGTAAAGATCTCCTTTTTGGACTTCTTTGAGATTGGTTTGATTCAGTTGAGTTAATTTGAATGATTTTCTTCTAATTCTTACTTCATTGTCGACCTATTGATTTCATTATTAAGGGATTGTGTCATTACCATCATTGCTCATCTCAATGGGTGGGAGGGCCAAATTCTCTCATATCTATCTTTTTAATGCCTTAGGTGTTGATCATTACCATCAGGTTCAATGTCATCATCTATATATTGTGACACACCTTGATCTTAGCCCTAGTCCATTGGCAAACATTACTATTTCCTTGCAATACAAATTAGAGAGGACCTTTCTTTTTGCTAGTCATTTTTAGGTGCATGGATGTTGAGACATATTACTCTCCTTTTGCCTGATTCATGCTTGGTAGGTCAAGTAACCTTCTATTTTTTTCTTTAAAATCCTTAATTTTCACGGAGCTCGGGTTTTTTCTCTTAGCTCTCGAAGGTTCATTTGGTTTGACTGATTTTCTTTCATTGGCTTCTTTGCTCCAAAATTCCCCTAGCAATCCAACGCTCTTTTTTGTGGTGAATTATTACGTCCAGCATTCGAACCGTCCGGAGGCGAATCTGGACGCGCTACATCACCCGGATCCATCAGGATGCACCGGGGTCTGGGTGACGTGGCACGTCCGGATTCACCTCCAGACGAATCTGGACGCCGGACGTAATAAAATTTTCCCAATCTTCGTCGCCTCCTAATCCATTGGCAAACATTCTATTATCTCTTATGCCTAGTACTAGAGTCGTGTGCGTATCCTTATGTTCATGTGTTTATCACTCAATCTCTTTCTACTCATCCATTAGTTTGCATGATTAGTAACTTCTTGCCTTAATGACTTTTATAGCCCAACTTAGTACCATAGAATTTCATCCCATGCTATTATGCATACACTCACGTAGGCCACCAATGCTTAGCCCTAGCACATTCATTAGCTCTTCAACTATTTTATTTAAACATGTTCTTGAGTGACACCACTTAGAATTCTCAGACCCTATAGTCACAATCTTGTAGAAGATAATCTCTCTTTCTCCTTCCCAATCTACTCATTCCAAGTCGATTACTTTGTTGTCATCAGGTTCTCTACAGAGCTTCTCTATTACCACAAGACATTAAGGGGTGGCCACCTACTAGAATAGATTGTAGGACTTCTTCTAGGATACCTTGAGAACAAATCCATTGTATGTTTAGGGTCATATTGTTTTCATTAACTCAAACTCATATCCAATCTTGCATAAGTCTCCAAAGCATTAGAGTCCTAAATATATCACTGAATTATCACTTTGGAACTCATAATGATCACATTTGATTTGTAGCATTAGGAATGTATACTAATTGAAATGGTATAAGATTCATATACATTCATTCTTGGAATCTATTTACATTTCATCTTGGTCAAAATCACGTCAAATGAACCAAATCCCATGTATTCATATTATTTGGTCATAATTACACAGTGCTAAGTCAAATTCTTATGCACTTATTGTCACAACAACATGTCATACCGTGTTGACTTGACACAAACCAAGCCCATAATCAAAGTTTCAAGGACTTTTAAGATTTCTTTCATTTAAAAATTTGAAATAGATAATAGAGATTCTAATTAACTTTTTATAAATAGAAAAATAATCTCATCCATAAATTTTTATTCTTTCTATTTATCTTCAAAATGTATTTACAACAAAATCTAATGCTACATTATATGACTACAGATAAATAATAATAATTAAATAACTAGTCATGATTATACAAAATCAAAACTATACATACTCGGACTGATCATAACCTAGGACTACAACAACTTAACAAGCATTTTCCTCTTTCTCTAACCAGAAACAAAATGCATAACAGGTGTGGGCCAACACAGTTTTATATGTTACACCCACAGATCTAAATTTTCAAATATTTGCTTATTAAGTATTTAATTGAGTTTTAAAAGTAGATTATATCAATTCACTCTATATAAAAGAATAATGCTTGAAGTTATTAGAAATCTAGATAATAGTGGAGGATAAATAAATAAATAACTACTCCATATATCAGAATAAAAATTAACAAATTTTTCTCAAACACTTATATCTCTCATTAGAAAAAGATATCAAAATTTAAGCTCTTATGACTCTATGTGATAGCATATCAGAAAATAGACTCTTATAACTCACAATGTTTAACACATATCATATATTAAAAAATTTATTTCATTATAACTCTATGTGCATCCCATACAACAGAACTTCCTCCAATATCAGAGCTTTACAAAATCACACATTTCAACAAGTAAATATATACATCATTGCATTGTAGTGCAAAAATGTAAAAAAAAAAAACTAATTTTACAGTTTCACAAAGTGCTTTATCGATAGACAATAAAGATAACTACTGAGAAGAATTTCACAGTTCTAGAATGTTACCAAATTACCAAGAATTATTTAGAATATTATTTTGAAGCTTTAATTATACTATAACATTATTTTTCCGGGTCAAAATTATTTTTTACTTAAATAAAACAATGGACTTTTCGAACTACCAAGTGTAAATTTCTCAAAATGATACATAAATGTCCAGACTGACTAGCTATATGACATATATAAAGTTAAATTGTAAAAGTTATGTAGGTACAAAGTTATCCTCATTTTTATAATATAAAATTATATATTAAATCATGAAAATTCTAAATTTTTCATATTTTTGAAAATTAAGATAGGAAAAATGTAACTTACCCACAATTTCTTGAGTTGGGCCGATAGAAAAAATGGATCAAAGGGGTGCGAAATGAACTTATCTCTCTAGAATCTATCCCTCTTTCTCTAGCTAGATGAAGGGAGTTTATTATTTTGGTTAAATAAGATAGAAATGAAATTTAATATTTTCATAAAATTTGACCTGGCGTCGTAGCGCTCGACTCTAGAATTCTATAGTGCTCCCCACTTGAGAGCATAGCACTGCAGTATTGTAAAGTTAGTTCATTTACTAAAATTTTGTTGAAGAGCTCAATACTGCTGTGCTGCCAACCCAACACCGTGGAGCTCCCAAGAGAAGAATTCTAGATTTTTAGATGCATGGACACAAACCCCATGAACCTGCTTCATAATAGTTTTAGACACTCTGATGCATACATAGCACTCACATACACATGCAAAAGACATGAATGCAAAAGTTTCACTTTATTGCTCTTACCCGATCAGATCAAAATAGGTACAACAGCGTGTTGCCACAACATGTATTTCATTTATACCTACACTATGTTTCGTGTGGATCTTGTTGTTTGAGTCTACATTGTTCTAATGTTGCTCTTGATGTATATATTCTTATAGTTTATTCATTTAAAAAGCACCCTTTTTTTTTAAATATTGATGTAATATTAAGAGTTAATGTAATAAATCAATCTTATATGATAAAAGTTGTGTTTGCTTTGTATAATATATGTGTGTGTGTAAAATAGAATGAAAATGTAGTAAATATTCAAGTCCTCACATATTCAATCTTCTACATTTAACATCATACAAAGAAGATCGAGACGTTGATGATCTAAAATATTTGTTGTAATTTCTTTCTCTTTCTTGCATATTTTATTTTTATTGCTTTGTAGAGATATCCAAACTCCAAAGATTCACACATTTCCATAATTATTATGTGTATGACCACACTTTTTTTTTATATTGTGATCTAATCTCTAGGAAATGTTTTTATAAGATAAAAATTAACAAAATATTCTTTGTGAATTCTTCAACCTTGTAGCCATCTTTTCTACCATATATATATATATATGGTCTTTTTGTAGATTGCAAGCTTTGAACTTAGTCAGCAAGTGCCTAATCGAGACATATTCATGATGTATAGCTTTTTCTTACTTATATAATGAGATAATAAGACCCATATCTCTTCCTACAAAGCAACCCATCTTGGACTGCAAGAAAAATAACATCATGGCTTTAAAAATTAAATTAGCTCTAGTTTCAAGGTATTCCATATATAGAATATATGCATTTTATTAGTAGCATTTGCAACTCTCATTCCATATAATTAGGCAGTGTTCATCCAACTCTATGTCACTTCTTCCTAGTTTAAGAAGTTTTCCTCTAGTTGCTAGAGAAAATACAAGTTTAGTCTCTTTTTTTGGGTCCATTCTTTATTTTCTCTCATTCAAGGCTTATATTGAGTATTCCCTTCTTTTTATTGGCAAATCCCCTCTTTGATTGTCATATTGATGTGTCGAGCCATCTTTCTTATCTTACGACATTTCCTCATTATGGGGCATCGTGTGCTTGAAGACTATATCCTTTAATTAGAGTTGTTGCATAGATGCCCATTATATTGAATAAGGAACATAAGAGAATGTTGATAATCAAGAGTATTCTCGAATATCACACT